TGCGCACCGAAATCAGTGCAAAGTCTGCCAAAAAATACAAAGATAACATCGTGTGAACTGTATGCACCTGCACACTGCTACCACTGCTGATAATAATAATAATAATAATAATTGTCATTATCATCATCAAATGCAGGAATAATTAAAGCAATTACAGAAGACTCGTGTCAAACTTGGTGGAGTGTAGTAAACATTAAAATGAAACATATTCTAACAAAAAAAGTGAAGTGAAGTCATAAAGTTGCTAGATGCACATTTGTGTGACTTTTGACCACCAAATTCTAATCAGTTCATCAAAGAGTCCAAGTGGACGTCTGTGAAATTCCCTTTGGGTATCTCTAATTCATTGTGTTTACAAGAATAAGACAGATGAGATGTCACACTAACATTAACTTTTGACCTTTGATAACTAAATTGTTATCAGTTCATCCTTGAGTCCAGGAGAACGCTTGAAGAAAATCCCCCAGGTGTTCAAGAGACATAGTGTTCTGGAGAATGGGACGGACAGATTGATCTATTGCCAGCGTAGAGGCAGAAAGGTGAGGCCAGCTGAATAGCAGAAAGCCACTGTTACATCTCTATAAGTGTAAGCATTATGAATGTTTGAGTTATTACCAACTAACTAGTTCACTAATGAACTTTTATGAGACAAATCGGAGTATTTTAAAAAGCATGACACAAATCAAAACTGTTAATGGAAGCACACTTTAGCCAAAGAAGATAAACATTTTGAAGTTTGAATTAAGTGTCTATTGAAAAGTATGTTTTAAAAAACAAAACTATAATAACTATAATATTACTATAATAATACTATAATAATATTCTAATTTAATAGTGAACTTCCTTCAAGTGTTAACAGTGTACATTTTCTCATAAAAAGTTACTTAAATTATTATCTATGGATGGGTCACTGTGCACAATTTCACAGTTTAGAAAAACATTTTCTGGCAAAAGCATGCACACACTGGAGGCACAGTATGTAAAAAAACAAAAAACATTTTACCCCCTTTGACTCACAAAACAGTAGCTTTGTATTACAAATGAAAATGATCTGGAAGTTTGCAAGAACACTCTCACCACAGAATACCTCAAAATGCACAACATAAACTGACTTGTGTGTTTTTCACGAGTACAAGGTTACCTGCTGAGGCGTGACAGGCTAAAACAGGCCCTCTAATGTGGATTTATGTCAGCTGAACAGAGCAGAGAGGTACGGTGCATTGCTGAGAGCCGGCCAAATGACTCCGGGGCAACCAGCGAACATGTTGGCGGCACGTTGTGTGACTGAACATGGCTGTAGTCAGTTTTTTTTTTTTTTTTTAATCATTACACTTGCTACTGTGCATCTTAGTTAAGTCACAAATGCAACACTTGACATTTAGACATTATTTGAGAAACAAAGCGCAGCTCAGCACTTCTATCTTGCTTGGACTTGTAAAAAATTTTGTTCCTCCGGTAAATCTTCAGCCTTCTTTTAAATATATATTCATACTGGACTTGTTCTCTTTTAAACCAAGCTGCCTCTGCAAAGTTTCAGCTCTCTCTTGGTGGTCCAGCTGCTTTATTGTGCCAGTTGGTTACTACTGTATCTGTCACTCACTGCAGAAGAATAGAACACCATGACTACTGCAGTACACAAGCTTTAAGTAGCTCTTTGTACAACCTTATACACATACTCACAGTGCAGAGAAATGTAGACAGTATAGGGAAACATTGCAGACTTATGCCACGTCTTGTTTTTTTTTCTGCATGTAAGGTAAGTTATGCAGTAGAACTCTCCTCAGAGTTGATTCAAGATTTGAAATGTAAGAAATTGTGATATCTCTTGACACTAGCAGCAATTGTTCCTACTTTCTACTTCAGTTAAATAGATTAAATCTTTAGTAATTTCTACAGTATTTGCTGCACCAGACACCAGAGATTTAGAGGCAGTGATCCAGCAGCCAGAAGACAAAATGTTCTCTGAAAATGCCAACCTACAACACCCCCGTCGCCGCCACGAATTCTTTCTGCGCAGTCGACCCTACAGGGGGGAACCGCCGACAGTAGCAGGTAAAGGTTTGCTGCTTCTTTTGTCCCAGCCTCAGATCAAGTTGGTGGTGCTCTGAGCTCTGTCATTCTCAAATGCAATGGCCTTAATTATTCTGTTGTTAAGAGATTTAGTTGTTCGAATACATCATGATTTCACTTCAAGCTGTGTTTAAATACTGATGTCCTGTGCACATACTCCAAAAGAAAATACAACATAAACAGCAAAAAGCCTCATAATGATAACAAACATGTGAAATATCACCAATTTTTCTAAACTTGCTTCAATCTTAGTACATTTTCGAATGCACAGACAAAAATATAACTGTATTCTTATCACAGAAATCAGCTCTGTGGGAATGATTGAGCATCACTGTCATTACAATCATTTATTCAATGTGAACAGGCCTTAATGAGTCATAACTGACACAAGAATGAAGGGTTTCTGAGCTCAAACACTGCAGTAAAAAAATGCTGGAAGGATTTCAGCAAATGTTAAGTGAGGTTAGTCCAGCTGTGATGTGTTTACTGGAATTACTCCAACATGCTTAAAAAAATGATTTTGCACAATAATAACAATAAAAGTTAACCATTCTAAATTTTAACCACGCACAGCACTTTGATGACAGTGGAAAGACATTAAAAGCAGAAAACTGTCGTTTCTTATAATCAGGGACTTCAAAAGCCCCCTCCCTGTCACTTCCACAGGATTTCTCCTCTACCCAGACACTCCTGCTAAGATGGAGACCACATCACGAGAGGCATTCTGCTTCAGGCCTGTCCCACGGCACGACAGAGGCAAGGGTCCACAGTCTTATCTCCGCTTAGAGAGTAAACTCATCATATCTGGTTTAAGATAAGCCGTGAGTGTTTCAGTGCTCACCAGAGGCAGGTCTATAGTCTGTTGTGTTTAGCAGATATGCATGTTTTGGGAAATGTCTGATCTGTGTGTGTGTGAAAACACAGATTAAACAAGTGATTTATGACTTTGTTTTTCTTTTATTTTAAGCTTTAATCACTCAAACTACAAAATACAGTAATTACTATGCCGTCATTACACTCAGATATTAATGGTACCAGTAAAAAATAGTTGAAATAGAACAGAGGGATATCCATATAAGGTTAAAACTGCTACTACTTGCAGACTAAAAAAAAGTTTAACAAAGATGGATTTTACAAAATACATTTTTAATTATTGCCAGTGAGATACTGACTGAACTATGCAGCCTTTAGTAGCCTTAATGTGAATGGCCAAAATTGCTACTAAAATAAGACAATACAGGCCTGTAATTAGAATGGTATGACAGTCTTTTTTTCATTATTATTTAAAGGAGCCTTTATTGCAATTAAAGAAGACTCATATCAAACTTTAGATTTATAGCTGAATGATACTGAGAAAGGATGATTCTCTCAAGGCTTACAATTAAATAAAGTTACATAAAATAACATATTAGGCACTGCCTTTTAATATGGAAAAACATTTAGCATCAAACCTTTGATTAGGACAGGAAAAGACTTAAAGAGGTGGAAAAGTGCCACAGAGTCTTTTAGCAGTAACAGTTAAAATTTGGGTTTTGATATATTTTTCCAGATGCTGTCTCCATAGAAAGAAAGATGAGGTGTTGAATTGGATATTTTATTTGCTGAGACCTTTAACAAGATTATTATTACCCATCAGGAAACCAAATCGCCCAGAACACCCAGCAGGAGTCCCACCATTCTCATCCCGCATCTTCACGACAAACAAGAAGAGGAAACAGCAGCAGCAGCAGGGAACGAGGAGATGACGAGCGAGAAGATGATCACACAAAGTCAGCAGCAGTGAAAAATGAACCCGGTACAAGAGACATGCAGTCTCAGTATCAGAAGGATTTCCCTCCTCCATCCTCCTGCCGCAGGAGGCGAACGCCTGCCCTCCCACAGCCTGACAACATCGGCATCAACCACGCCTTCAGGTGAGAGTCACGGTCACAGTGTTGTACAGCCTCATGTAGAGAGCAGCTCATCTGTGTGTCTGTGTGTTCTGATTCACAGGATCGAGTTTAGCACAGTCCAAAGAGAGACTTACCCCGGCTGGCCCATCATGAATCCCAGGGAAGCTGCCAGGCCGAGAGTGGCTTTGTCTGGACAACCAAACATGAGTCTGTAACATTCAGTACATAAACAATCAGCTTGTGTTTGACAAGATAGTCACATCTTGTCAAAACTCTTGTGCCATGTCCTAATATACATAATATATAAAAACGTCAAAAAACAAGCCAGTTTTGGGGGCTTTTCTGACTTATGTGTGTTTGTTAATGTCATTTCCATTGTCTCATCTTAAAAACAGCTCTCTAATACCTGACTTTCTCCTCAGTTCTTTCATATCTGGAGTGAAACAGAAGTTAGATGTTAATTCTTTGGTTGTTTTTAGGCTCTCTGTTGCATCAGTGTTAAAGTGAACCAGTTCTTTTCAGCAACAGGTGATGAATTTCGCAGCAGCAGGTCAATCTGATGAGCTCATGGACCGATTATAAGAGCACACTCAGCAGGATGCTGAGCGCATGGAGTCACTGGAAAGCACTTAATGAACTACCGCTAAATCCAGACCTTTAATGTTTTATATTGATGACTTCAGACATTTAGACATACTTGCGGACAGCTTGCGAGAAAATAATCCACCCAGTGACTCATAACTGAAAGCTGATCTGTTTCAATGGGCAGGACCGGTAATTAGACAGCTGAGCCGAGACTCAACCTTAGACACAGACACAATGACTACATACACAGAGATCGATGAGTTTGAAATCAAAGTAAACACATTAAAATATTCACCAAAACAGATTTTGTACTGTTTTCATTGTATCCGCAGCATGAAAAAGTTTGGAATTATCTTAAACCAACAACAAAATCCAACAAAAGAAAAATAGTTTTGAGGATTTTTTATTTTTTTAAATATAACTTTTCAGCTATTAACAAGGAAGATGACAGTGTTTTGTTAAAATTATTTTTGGTTTATTTGCTTTCTTTCCCTCACATATAGAACTAGTTCTGCATAAAACCTTATGAATGGCTTATTACCAAAAAGCTTCATCAACAGAAACATAGACGTCATACAGAGGCTACATTGTTAAACTGCCTGCCTTAGCACACTGATGAACATGTATGCATGGCATTTCAGAAAACAGGACCAAATTTTCTTTCTCACAAAGACAGAAACAGATTCAGTCTCATTTAGAGGTCCTTTATGGGTGCATGTTTAAAAAAATAATGGCAACTTTATCCATGTAATTGCAGATTACAGAGTTTTTTTTACTAACTCTAAGCTTAACTGGGCTTGATAACTTCAATGCTTAAAAAAAAAAAAAGTCTATCATTGTTGTAAACAGCACACATTTTTTTTAATATACTGAATTGTAGTAGTTTTTACAGCTCAGTTTCTGCTAGTTCCCTGAGAAATGCTGAAATGTTCAAGAACACCAGCTGAGGATGACAGCTAACAGATGACATCATCCAGTAAACTAGACAATCCACACCCAGACCAGTGACATTACACCACACAAGGTCATCTGTAATAAAGATGAGTGTTGTCTCCACAGCCCAGTTCTCTATTTTCAGAACAGAACAGTCCAGTGTATAGGCACACTCTCCTTCACCGTCCCGATTCCAGGCAGCTGGACTGGACATTAAACATGTGCCAGACTTCCTTTGACCCTGGTGAGATCAGTACAGCTGGATTTCTCCCCGCTGTGCTTCATCTCCGGTCCCGGTGCCTGCTCCTGTCTCCGTGTCTGCGGTCGTCCCTCTCTCTGCCTCTGTCCCGGTCATCTCTCCTCCCTCTGCTGCCCCACTCCGCCTCTCTGTGTCGGTCCCGGTCCTCCCTGCCTCTCGCCCCTTGTCTGTCCCACTCCCTGTCTCTGCCTCCCCCGCCTCCCCATTCCTGCACCGGTCCGACTCCGAGGTTAATGGGTTTCCGGAAAGGCCTGTCCCTGCCGCCGAACCGCAGCTGTCCGGACTCTTTCTTCCCTCCCAGTCCGCCACCAAGCCGCCGCGGCACCCACCCTTTAAGTGTCCTCTCCTGCTCAAAATCCACAAACACTTCGTGCTGGTCCACCACCAGCTTGTTGGCGTCCCGCCGGGCCCGGACCACGGACCGCTCCTCTTTGTACTCAATGAAGGCGTATCCTTTGGAGAAGCCCGTCACGATGTCCCGCACCAGCCGGAGCCGCTGGATGACTCCGTACTTGGAGAACACTTGGTGCAGTTTCTCTTCGGTTGTGTGCGGGCTCAAACGGGACACAAACAGGGTGAGCAGCGGGTCTCCCACAACACCTTTGTTGGGTTTGTATCGGGCACTCATAGCCCTCCACACCGCCCGGTCATGGGGCTCCACGTCCGTGCCGTCGATGCTGCCAGCTTTCAGCGGGTCGTACACCTTCGCTATCGGGTTCCAGTCAACCATTTTACCCAGAGTTCAGTCACAGCAGTCGACAGCAATAATCTCCGAGGCAGCTATTTCTTTACATTAGCCCGTAATTAGCAACAGAACCACGTTGGTGCCGATGAAATGTTTCTACGCCTTCAAATGATCCCCGCGTGCATCAACAAAAACATTCCGTAGAGAAACAAGCTCGTATCTGTCACATTTGAAAGGTTCCTCACTGAAGTACAGCTGCAGGAGATCAGCGGCCTCAAAATACTTGTACTTAATTATAGCTGTGCATGAATAAAGGCAGGTGTGTAGTTTGTAATGTTTCGATAAGCATGCTAATTTGAATTAACAATAAATGATTCACTAAGACTTAAGTGATCACATTGAAATCTCCTTCTTTGCGCAAGCATGCACACACTAATTTGTGTATTTTGAAGTATACTTTGGCCTTACAAATTTAAACATAAATACAAATAAAGCTTTGCAGAATGAGAAATAAAAAATGTATGCATACATTTACTATCTCAAATACAACGTTATCATATGATTTAATTCATTAACCCAAACTCAACACTATGGAGATTTATTCCTGACCTTTGTTTTTAAACCATGAGTTTCATCAACTGATGGAGTTTGCTAAGTTGTCACAGAGATGTGACTTCTTTCATAGAAACCATCATTTATACTGGCGACAAACGTAAACGCAAAATCAAAGTTCAATCTTGATCTTTGTAAAAGCAGTCAGACAAAAAATACCCACTGAGGGAAGCCTACCTATTGTGTAAATGTAAATGATCTCATTGTCTGAGCAATCTGATCTGATTTACAGTGTTGACTTATTTTTATTTGCAAGGCATTTTATATGGTCCACAGATATTTCCTACAGCATAAATTTGTATCTACTATATCAGCAAAATCTATAGTAATTATTTAGAGATGATGGCTTGGTTTAATCAGTGACACCATTATCATAAATTTTGCATTGTGTTTGTTTTCTGGCCACCAGAAGAATCTAAATCCAATACTCTTTGGCCTCCACCAACTTACAGTGTTCAGATGCTTAAATGCCCCATTGTGACCTGCAGCAAAGGGTCGTGAGCAGGAGTCAAACCCACGTCTGCTGCATCGGGGAACTATAGCCCCTATTCATGGGTCCCCCACTCAACTAGGTGAGCTATAGGGGCGCCCGAGCCCTTAAATGGTACTAAACAAAAAACAAACAACACCTTCAAAATCTATATTTGGTTTCGTAAACATTAGCTCAACACTATGGAATCATATTAATCTGTCAACGTCCAACATATTCATCTAAACTCCACTGAGGTATATGAACACTCTTGGCACAAAACTGTACAAAAACACTATTTAATAAAAGAATGGAAACCACATCTGTTTTGGCTTTACAATGACTCAGTTATTACAAAGATAGCGCAGCATTAACAAGATGCCAATTCACTGCTATGTACAGTTTAATCTGATGTCTGTATCAAACTTATGCTATTTGAAAAGGTAAGTTCTGTTGACTGGATTTTTCAAATCTGCAGTTGTTTTAAAAGTACAGAAATTCTATAGGGGATGAGCAGTCTGTTTCCAGTGCCATTACATGTCCTCCACGCTCCATTTGTAAGCTTCCTCCTGGACAGCTTTTTTATCGGATATCCGCGTGTAGCGTTTCTGCTCAAAACCATTTGACCTGAGAGACACAAAATAAAAAAACATGGCTATTACTTCTGCAATCACAGTCTAAACTCCAGCTTTGATTTGATGCAACACTGCAAATATAAAGGACTCAATCAGGGCCATTTCAGTCAAAACCGTGATTGCGAATATTGTATAATTAATTATGCAATTGTATGAAATGTACCTGAATAGCATGAATAACAATCTGATTAATTTATTTCAAAAGAAGGCCACATTCATGCCACTGCAGACCCATGCTATTTAGTTTTTCTCTGCCACTGACACATGGACCATACCTGTCAACTCCATCCCAGCGATAGCCTGGTAGAATATTGAACCTGTTTGGAGGTGGGGCAGGGCCGTTATATCGAGGTTTTGCTACAAACAAAAAAACAAAAATATTTTGCATTAGTCACCTCAGAAAGAACAAAACTTGTGATGCTGCCATCTTGGCTCAGATTTCAGTATTAAGAGGTTAACCTCAGACTGATTAACTAACTTTAAGAAACAAAATGAAATAAGTATAGTAATGCTTCCAACCTTGTGCTTTCGGGTTGCGCTCCTTCTTCCGCCTGAGCATTGCAGCCATAGGATCCCCTTCTCTTTCCTGCTCTCTCAACATGCGGTCCAGATCCTCATCGTCATAGTGACGTGCCAGCGGCTTCTGTGCTTCAATCACTGCATCCTCAAGTTTCTGCTGATGCATCTGGCCCTGGGCCAACCTATGCACACAGTTTGACTTTAATCATTAAAGCATACAACACATTTAATTTTAATCCTTCTACATGACAGTCACACTCTATCTTTCTGTGATTTGTGAAATGATTACGAAAGGCATACCCTTTTCCCCACTGAGCATATTTCTCATCCTTTGCTGCTTTTTCTCCAGCTTTCCTCTTCTGTTCCTCTCTCTCTGAATCCAAATCCCTCCTTTTGCCACTTTTGTCTCGAAACACCGTCTCGGCATTGCGAGATTCATCTAGGCATAACAGACAAATGGATTAAAATGTCATTTCAGTTAAGGCATTATCATTTCAGTTGACAAGAACTAAGTATGTCACAGTAAGTAAAATCTACTACACACTGGCTTGAGATGCAAAATCCTGTGAGCATCAATGTGACAGAAAAGTATCTTAAAGAAAATCTGAGCCAACCTTCAAGCGGTTGATTGTGTCTTTCTCTGCGGCGGTTTTCTTCCTGCTCTTTCCTTAAAACATCTACAGAAACCAAGCCTGCCTTCCCTCCAGAAAGCATCCTCTGGCTCTGAAGAAAAACATAAAACAACAATTAACACACTCAGCAAACTGATGTAAATCAGATTTCATATTAGCCTTTGAGCCAACACAGTGTACTTACATGTGATTGGCCATGTCTACGAGGTGGTGACAAGTCTCCATCCGAGTCCTTTCCACTCCGCGGTCGCCTCCTGGGTGGAGATTGGTCTGAATCAGAGCCTCGTCCTGTTTTTGAGCGCCTCCTTGGAGGAGACTGGTCAGAGTCTGAAGCTTCTCTCTTCAGAGTCTTTCTCCTTGGGGGTGACGGATCTGAGTCTGAATTGTGCCTATTCTGAGCCCTCTTAGCCAGTGGTGACCGACGAGAATCGGGTGAACGTTTTCTACTTGATAATGACGAGCTTGGCTTTCTTCCGGACGGAGATGAATCTGACAAAGAAAAACTAACTGTTTAATGAAGCGTTTGTATAAATACATTTTCCAAACAAAAGCACCTTTGTTTTGTGACATTCAGCCTGATGGACTGTACAAGAGTCAGGAGTTTTTATAGCATTAATCATGATAAAGAGGATTATTATCCAAATTAGGCCTTCAAAACAAGAGTCCTCTCTTAATGACTTAAGAAAAACTTGAAATAGATACTGGAGATCATGTTTCTGTTTGAGCTTTCATATCAAATTAAGGCATTTTTCATAGATTTCTATAAACAATTATGTTAATGTAAGCTGGATGGCCTTCTGGTTGATGTATTTTTGCTTATGCTAACTTGCCCAAAGCAAAAAGACACTACAGTTCACAAAAGAAATTACATGCATCCCTCACCTTTACTTCGCACCTTTCCTGACTTTCCTGAATGTTGCCTTGGAGGGGACAAGTCCGGAGAATCATGGCGTCCTCTCCTAGGAGGAGATATGTCTGGAGAGTCGTGGCGACTTTTTCTGGGAGGAGATACGTCTGGAGAGTCGTGGCGACTTCTTCTGGGAGGAGATACGTCTGGAGAGTCGTGGCGACTTCTTCTGGGGGGAGATACGTCTGGAGAGTCGTGGCGATTTCTCCTCGGTGGAGATGTGTCAGGTGAGTCATGTCGGGTCTTCCTGACAGGAGAATCAGGTCTCCTTCTCTTTGATGACAGCTCTGGCGAGTCATGGCGACTTCTGCTTGATGCCACAGGCTCTGTATGTTGATGCTCCCCTTCATTCCCCTCCTCTATGTTCTCATCTTCATCAGCTATCAGGAGACAACACGTAAAGTAAATAAACAATCTTGTTTAACACAGACAGATTCTCTCTGCTTCTTCCATAATTACCTCCAATTACTTTCCACCTGTGGCTTGTTCTAAAGGCTTCCAGCTGTTTCACTTCTTCCGGTCGATCATCTATCACCTCAGCAATCTGATTAGACAGCAAGAGATGAAGTCTTAACAGTGAGCATATGTGATATAACAAAATGAATTAGGCAACCATCATGGATTTTGTGCAAAGATCTACTCTGGGGTAGTTATCCCTTTGAAAGTGCTGAGTCTGTTATAGCATCATAAGCAGTGTTGCAAATGAAGGGGTACATTTTTGCAGTTCAAAATGAACAACATCTCATTCAGATCTAAAATAAAAGGTAAATTAATGGATTGGCAGCTCAACAGCATCAGCATAATCAATTATTTTTGGTTAGCTAAATCCAGCTTTTTAACTATTGAGATTTGCTACTTCTGTTTTAACTTTATTTAACCTTGAATATAGACATTTTCTAACCCTTGCATGCCACTGCAAGTTTGAGAAAACGATCTCTAAGATTTTCACACAGTTTATTGTGTATTAATATATGTAAAGGTAAAAGTCATAAATAATACTAATGACAACAAATGCTTTATTCATTTCACTCCCATCTCAACCAAAGCAGTCAGTAAATTTTTTAAAAGGAAAATTTCCAAAATTAACCGGAAGAAACAAACAAAAAAAGGCCTCAAACGGAATTTAAACGGAAAAACCAAAAAAAAAACCACCGAAATAAAGAAAAAAAAAAAATAAAATACATGTATACAAGTTAAACACACGGGGCTTTATTTAAGATGTTCCTAAACAAGTCAGCGGGTTGATCATCTTAAGTGAATGAATGGATTTAGGATAGCCTGCTAGCTAACGTTAGCTTAGTGCTTACCACTGGAGCTTCTTCTTCATCCTCTTCAACCTCCACCTGCTCGGTGACCATCTGTCTCCAGTCGATGTCATCGTCTACAATTTTGAGTCTTGTATAAGAGAAGCAAACGTGAGTTAATTCGTTGAAAAGCTTTTCACTCATACCGATCAGTGAGCGACGATAAATTAGCTAAGCGGCTAACAGATACGCACGCACGCATAAAACAGCTCGACTTAAATGCTCCTATAGACTCACCCTCTCTCAGGAACAGTCTGTCGTTTCTTTTTTATCTTCTTTTTTGATTTCTTGGAGTCGTCGTCTGCGGATAAATAACGCTTTAGGTACTCAGCTTTAGAAAGTTCAGGTCCCTTCTTGCTTCCTGTGGAGGCGGCCATGGTTGTGTTATGACAAACTACGGATCCCGCTGAGGGTCAAAAATGACAATTCAGAATAATTTTTTTTGGCCAAGTTTGTACACGCAAACAAGGAATTTAACCGCCTGGGGGAATAATCTGTCAAAATTCAGTCCAGTCTAGTATCAGATGACTCTGCTGAGGGCGTTTACCAACTCATCAGAAAACATTGCAAACCATAAGCATGTCACATGAAGGACAAAAATAGTAAGAGAAAAGTTGTGGAGATCTAGTTGGTACCTTTCTGTAGTGTCAGTGTGAACATCATTTTTTTTGGCAACTGAAACAGACAAACTGAATCTTGTTTGTAATAAATCAAGCAGTAACAGGTGACAGTCTAGAAAAATGTGATTATGAACATATTCATTGTGGACCATACTGGGATTCCATAAGATCAAACATTAATCACACAATCTAATTAGATTACAAGTAGTTTATTAGTCCACTGTAAAGCATCATGAAGGAATTAAGTCAAATAAGCCCTGATTTATTTTGTGCAAATATATGGGGTTTGCTAATTTCTTATTAAATGAACTTAAAATGTCTTTTTAATATTTATTTTCAGACCATTTTAGAACTTAAAAACAAGAGTTCCTATAGCTTGAACCATATTGACTTAAAATGATAAGTTGATCTAATCTATACATGTCTGTTTGATACCGACAACTTACCATGCTGGACAGTAACAAAGTACATTTGCTTAAGTACTGTACCTAAAAAGAGTTCTGAAGTACATGTTGAGCATTTCCACTTTATGCTACTTTACACTTTCATTTCTCTACATTTCAGACAGAAATATTGTACTTTCTACTCCACTACATCTATGTGACAATTATTGTTACTTTTAAGATAAGGAGTTTACTCAATGGAAAATATACAAGCGTTTCAACTACAACACATTGTTTCACATTGTATCAGTGGTTTCCGAGCTTTTTGGCTTCTGACATCTTACAAACAGCAGAGTGTAGTCAAGTTCATATTTCAGATGTCTATGAGTTGTTAAGAGCTACATTAAATCATAAAAATTATTATTAATAATTGATCGGTTTTATATAGTGCTTTTCTAGACAATCAAAGACGTTTTACACTGTCAATTATTCATTCACAACCATTCATTCCAGTGGTGGCAAGCTACGATGTAGCCACAGCTGTCCAGGGGCAGACTAACAGAGGCGTGGCTGTGGCCCCTCCGACCACCACCTCAAACAATCCTACGCATTCACACCAGGGAAGGTGGGTGAAGTGTCTTGCCCAAGGACACAATGACCATGACACAGATTACAGGACCAAATTGAACCGCCAACCTTCCGATTATTGACCGACTCGCTACCACCTGAGCCACAGCCACCCAAAATCATGATTTCTTTTCCTCTAAGCTTCTCATATGGTTTAATTTAACAACATTTTTGAATGATGCAATATCTAAACAAAAATCAAACATTAAAAAAGTCTACAAACTGAAAACAGTTTCATGTATGTATGTAGTTTCTTTCTCTTCTTTCCTCTCCCACGAATTATCCCACAACCCCTCAGATTTATCTAATATCCCTGTTTAGAAAATTCTATATAAAGTAGTTCAAACTAGCTCCATCTACAGCAACATGCTGCTGACACACTGATGTTTACCATTAATAATCTAATGACTACTTTTGGATTAATATGTTAACTACATTTTGTTGCTAATACTTTGGTAGTTTTCATGAAGGACTTTTGCTTGTTACGGAGTATTTTTACAATGTTGTATTTGTACTGTACATTGTAATTTTACTCAAATATAGGATCTAATGACTTATAAAGTTAGACCGACTTTAAGAAGTTGCTTTGAGTGTTTTTACACGAATGAATTTCACAATGACTCCCTTCTAATAAATGTCATAAAGAATCTATCTAAATCGAATGCTGCCATAATTGATGTTCTTAATTCAACTTATGCATTTCCAGTTTTGACATAATGCTTTTAAAACTAAATGTCTCCAGAGAAATTGATCTATTCAAACTTTCTTCACTCCACACAGATGATCGCCATTTAAGGAATTATGAGAGTTCTGTGGTAGTGGGTCATTGCCACGGCTTACTGGAAGCTTGGAATGAAACAGAGCCGCTAAGTCTGTCTGCAATGATTAGTAAAAATGCCGCCTGCACCAGCTGTTTCTCTTATTGAAGATAGTGAACACTCATGCAAACAAGCATTTTCAGATGAATTTGTAGGGATCTGTTTTGCTTTTTCTGTCAACCATTTTTTTAAAAAAAGCAACAGTAAATCTACTTGTTTCAAAGTCAACATCACCCTGTTCAAAAACATCATCTGCAGATGTTTTGATTATGAGGATGCAACTTATGAGTTGTTAATATTTTAATTTAGAACAATGTTCTCCAACATTATGGAATGTGCATGTTTTACAAAGCCATAAAAAGCAGTGAAAAGTCATGTTTGACCTTATTATTCCCATCTGGACCACAGACAACAAGTCGAGGCATGACTTTAAATGGCATCCCTTTATTGAAAACAAGTGCTGCATCTTCCACAGTCATTTTTTCATGTTTACTTAGTGTATTTACATCCATACAGTGTGTGCATTTCTGTTGCAAAAAGCAGAACACTTCAGTTGAATCATCTTTGAGTCATCTTCATTAATGAAAACATTTTAATACTGCTTCAGCGATCGTAGGAGGAAGACACAAGAAGAAGCGACAGAGCTGCAGGTTGTTGACAACATCTTTTCAGCATGTGGTGTTATTGATGGGGATGTGTGTGGATGCGGACAGAAGCGGAGGTGTGGTTGAGTGCGTGTGTGTACGCCCGCACAAGCCTGCATGCTTTTGTTGTTTTAGCTGTGCGTGTGATAGAAGAAAAGCAGCAGACACACCATCCAGGAACAGGAACTCTTCAGAAACAGGCTTACAGCCGAACACGTGGCCAGTTGTTCTGCAGTGGAAGAAAAGTGGGATGCAAACAGTTTACAAAAGCCTCTTGAATTTGTCTCCCACTCACTTATTCACATGCTCACTCCCTCAGACCCAGTCAGTCCTCCTACCTCTCTCCACATTGACACTGGCAGTCACCCCGGATATTTTACACAAGTAGGTGGTGTTGTGTGGGAGACCGTCTGTGAAGCCGCTCAGGGTCATTCTGTAGCCGTGCGGCTCCAGCTCCTCCACCTGGCTTTTGTCTTTGAACTTCGCCTCTGCTGACGAACCGGACACATTGGTATTAATGAGGGATTCTTTGTTTCCAGAGGACCAGGAGAACTCAAAGCTGTTGATTTTGTTGGGCTTTGGCTCGACCAGACAGTCGACTCTCAGGTCGTTGTCATCTTCAACGCACACGCTGATCAGCTCAGATTTTACTGAGATCAGCAGCGCTGGGGAAAAACACAAAAGGACATATGGGAGCAAAAATAGAAGGATATTCAATTTCAAATCTAATCATATGCTTTTGTTGTACAGAAATCTACAGATTTTAGAGCACAAATATCTCTTTTCTCACCTCCCAGCACTCCATACACAAACAGAGACTTGAGCATGATGGAAAAGTACCCATCCAACTTTGAAACAAAAAGAGGGGAAACATGACAGAGACAAGCAAGTTAGATAGAACAGCAAAAATGTTACATGCTCTGTCACAGTAATTTGAATTCTAACCTTTGTGGACTGGGCTCTCCAGCTGGGGGTGAGGTCATTTTTGGTAAGGTTATTTATAGTACAGAAATAGAGGGGAAAGGGTAAAAAGATGTCAAAAGAGCTTGTCATTCCTTTAGTCTGGTAAACTTTGTTGTTTGGATGACAAGCCAAAAATGCTGCGACGCTCTGATCTAAGCTGCTAAATGTCCTTTAACTGTTTCCAGAACTTGATCCACTTGTGGCCAAATCTAAGGACGGAGATCATACAGAGCCAAAGGACACACAGATGTTTTTCATTTACTGTTTTATTCCCAATTTGTTATTCTGTTCCTCACATTTTTCAATTTCTTTCACACATTTTCTGTTTATCTGCATCCAAAACTGAATACTACAGTTTTAAACAATAAGTTACAGCCTAAAGTTTACCTGTCTCTGCACATTTTGTGCTTTCACGACCTGCGTACCTGCATGTTCTAGCACATATTCCACGTCATCTTGATTTGACCTTAGTCCTCATATCTAGTCCGTGAGCTGCAGCTGATCATCTCTGAGGAATCTTACCTCCTGCCAGGGCTGGATGATGTAGCAGCTCCTTCCTGCGTGCTCTGGTCTGGTTGTAAACAGCTGATAGGAGTCGCCTCAGTGTGAAGCACTGCAGAGCATCGCACTTCTGAGTCGAGGTTGGAGCAGCACAGAGAGGTGGAGGGAGAGTGGGAGGGATGAGGGTGGACCAGAGAGCGCTGATTCGTCTTCCTCCTCTGCAGTGGCTGACGGAGGACATCAGCTGTGCAGGTTGTTTGTGTGTGCCGAGGCAAAACTCGGTCATCATCTCTACCTGCAGGGTGTTCTGACCTTGTCTCCTTTCCTCTTTGGTCGTCTCCTTGCTTTTGTCTCAATTCCTCCTCTCCTCATTTGTCATCCATGTTGCTCTGCACAATCATCTCCCTGTCATTTCCACTAGCTCTCATACATAATAAATAACTCCCAAAACAAGGTGATTTTTCGACTGTGCTCTTCATAAAACGCATAAAACAGTGCCGTTGCTGCAGTGACTGCACTAACTTATTTTAGATGAGAATATATTCACAGAAATGTCATAATTGGCATCATGCTTGCACAGTCATCACAAGGTGAATTTGTGCCCCCTAGAAATTTCTAGCACCATCATACCAAATGACTCAGTTTCAGCGGCTCACTGTCTCCACCCTAAGGCCAATAAAAGGAATTTCACAAAGTTAGCTGGATGCAGATTTTCAGCTTTCAGCACAGGGTGTCACTGTTAGGCCATGTGAAGTTTCACGGTTTGCTGTCAACAGAAACATACGACCAGAACTGCTAAAACTGAACATCACAACATGGAAGCCACCTGCATCATCCAGAGTCCACTTTTTTGACACTGAGGACAAAACCTGAACACATCTATACTGAAGTAAGGAGTTGTGTTAATGAAGCTAAACAGTTAACAGATAAACCTGACCTGCACCGACTCTTTTTACTCCATCTCCATGATAACAGAGGATTGTGACATTCCCTGCATGCACTATGCAGAAGTAAGGAAAACATCCGGTTAGGATTGCTGTGCATAACCCAGGCAGATTACACACATTTACACTGACATAATCCATTTAGGACTGCATAAACTGAAAGAACCAGCCTTAGTAAATATCACACAGTAATACTGTCTCTTTCTCTTTAATCTTCAGACACACTTTCTGACTTTTGCTTCCTTCTTTCAGTATGCTCTGCAATTTTCTTCTGTCAGTCCTCACCTGCCTACACTGGATCTGTCTGTTAAGCTTTCCTCCTCTGCAAATCACCCTGGACATACAGGCAGCTTTCAGTGCATGTGTCAGACTCTTTCATATAATGTTTGTTTGACTTGGATGAAACAGGGTTTGATGTAGGGTTTTATAGCCAATGTCACGCTATACATGCACACTTAAACAGCTACAAGTGGCAGCTTTGTATTTATTTCTAAAATATTTATAATCTACAGAGCCTGGGAGCTTTTAATAATTCATAACGTATTGCTTGCCATTTACGCTATATGTGTCTACTCTTATTGTGAGTTACTTGTATTTACTTTTATTTCACTGGATCTACTTTTTTTTGCAGTTAAACTGTGTTATATTTGAAATCTCCATCACCTCAGTTAGCCTCCAGGACTGCCTCTCCCCAAAGCAAAAAAAAAAAAAAGATAAATAAAAAATGAATAAATGATGATATGGTGGATACCATCTACTCCATAAAAAACCCCCAAGTTTAGGGTTTGTCTCCTTCAAACTCCAAATGGCTTTGCTTTCCTTGGAGAGCAGAAAGCTAAATAAATAATATGGTACAAAACCCAGAGAACTAAGCAATTAGAGTTCACAAACGCTTTTTTTTAAACTTCCATGACACCTCCCAGGCTCCATAGGCGTTGATTGCTCATGTTCATGTAGGCTAAATGTCTGCCAGCAGGGTGCAAAACTCATTTTCATGAGTGTGTGAACATCAGCCCACAGCCACTGACTCCTGGAGCTTCGTCCCTGTCTGACCTCTTAATTGCGCCTATTGAGTTTGCTCATTTAAAATAGCCTGACTGCGACTTTTTTTTTTTTCCTTTTTTTTTTCTAAATGTGCACACCAGCCGGCTCAGCCCTCACACAGTGACAGATATTTGTCAGTCGGGACTGAGGGGGGGCAGGCTATCTCGGAAATAATCTGCCCACGCGTTAAGCTGCTTTATCCCCGCCAAGCCTCAGCCGAACAGACTGCTGCAGCTCCGTTACCAGTCAGAGGGAAACCCGCATTAAGAGGAGGGGGGGAGTAAGGAAAGAAAGAAAGAAAAAGTGGCACAAGGTGCTGAGAGAAGTTTGAGAAATCTTTCCTGGCTGAGAGCTGGCGAATTCACAGAGTGTGGAGACGTTTTGACGCACACATGCCCGGACCCTGACGCACGGTCCTGAAGCTGAACCTGCTGCTGCTGTGAGCTCAGACTGGGAGGCAGGAGGCGTGAAACAAGTTCACACTGGGAATTTAACCACAGCGAGAAGCTGGCAACGGTGGTTTGGGCATGGAAAGGACTGGACTTTGGATATTCCTGATAACAACTTGTGTTAATCCAGGTAAGCTTCTCTGCTTTCACCACTTTTATTTATTTATTTAGTTATAAATGGAAGTGATGTGACTCCTGGTAAAAGGCATGATTAAGTCTTAGGTATCAAACCTGCAATCACAAGGAAGGGACAGAACAAGGGTTAGTAATAAAACACTAACATATATCTGATGTGTTGATCATACAGTATAGAAGGTATCTAAACTAGCAAGACAAAAAAAATATACAATTCATAATCTGCCTCATTTTGAGCATAGCAGTTTAAATGCTATGATCTTTTTTCTTTTTTAGTTTAAACTATTATTCTAATAAATGCCTGATTATTTATTAGAGTACATAAAAAATCAAGCATTTATGAGAATAATAGTCTAATAAATGCTAATAAATGCTTTCATTAGTATTTATTAGACTATCATCCTCATAAATGCTTGATTATTTCTATTAATATGCAGAGGTAAGAGTATCTTAGGTGTATTTTACACTAGTGCGTCATATCATATAAGAGTAGTACCATCATCTTCATCATTTTATTAGTAAGTGTAACTATAAATAGCTTTGGAAATGCCTTATATGTTGTGGCAGATTATTTGATGATTAATAAACCATTTACTATTGTTTTATTGACCTGCTATACAATAATAAGTACATTTTTTGGGTTGCCAGTTTGAGAAATATCCCTTTGGATGGTTATAATGCCTGTCAAATCATAAGATTTTGCATGCTAGACTCAAAAAAAAAGAGTTATTTTTAATGGTTAAGTGACCTAAAAAGCATAAATGAATGATTAATACCGATTCATAAAGCAATATCTGACAACTTATAAGCCCTTTATAAGTGGTCCATGGTGTGCATTAAATTAAGGCTAGAAATGAGAAAGATGAGATTATCATTTTCTATTTGTTTTCAAAAATGAGTTCAGTGTCTCAGTGACAATTCTGCTGCTTTCAGTGTGACTGTGACATTTTGGCAGCTTCAGACTCCACTCATTAGCATGTGTGAGTGATTTCTGCTCTGAGAATACGATAAGAATAAGCTGATCCCCAGTCAGTCCTACACATTGTCCAACTAAACTGGTTTCAGGAGGCGTGCGGCTGAAGTCACACTAAAATGTGTCGGCCGCTACAAATGGCACTGCCACATCTTAAAGTGCTCTGTGTGTCTGTGTGTGTTTGAATGAATGGACTAACTCTTGCCAAACAGGTGCAGCGGTGTAATCACACTAAGCTGGGGCCAAACCCACAGCTGGCATCAGAGTTGTGGCAGCGTAATAATGGGGGGGACTGTGGTATACATCTTACGCAATGACAAAAGCGATTGTGGCAGCATACGGATGTGCTGAACTGTTGTGACATCTGCTGTGATTGCTTTTTTCACTCTGCATGTGATAAACCGCCTTGTCCGAGCTGAGCAGTAATTTGCAGGCGCGCGCACATGTGTGTGTGTGTGTGTGTCAGTATGGTGAGTGTGAGGCCGCGCCATGTGTGTAGGATTGTCATGTTTGAAGGACAGAGCCGTGGATTAGAGCTGCACAGGGAGCAGAAGGGTGTAACAACATGACTGCTGCCAAGTCCCAGCCTGGTGACTGTTGCTGCAGCGTATCTGTCTTCTCCCGGCTGATGCAGACTCAGAGCACCTCCTCAGGCCTGTCAGACGTTGTAGAGCTGCCACCGGGCTGATGTGGATGCTGGTTGCTGATGTGTTTTCCCATAAAAGTTTGAAAGCCTCCTCTGCAGAGAGACCTAGCAGAGAGACACAGGGAAAAAGGCTGACTGAGGCCGACAGACAGACATGAATTTTAGTATAATCCACTGTCCACAGCTGGAACACACAGACGCTACCCCACAGAAATAATCCATGGCAAACACACGGCCCTTCTGTGCTCTCTCCCTTTTGTTTGTCTCTTTTGTGCACCTGTCTCTCCAGAGTCTACCAATTTGAAAACCTTTTCCTCCTCACTCTTTAGATCAGTTGATCTCCCTCCACAGACCTTTTCCTCATTTCCCTCCTTCTCTCACTCTTGGCCTCGTATTCTCCTCTCATGTCTCAAACACACATGCGACAGTCATCATAATCCTGTGAGCTGCCCGCTGAACACCGGCCAAGCGAACACTCCACGTTCCCGCGGTACCACCGAGATTACACACCCACACAAACACAAACCTGTGTGGATGTGTGATACACGCACGTAAACGCACGTGTGCACACTGATGACAATCAGAAACAATGACAGAGTAGAATTGATTCTGGGGGGAAAAAGAGGAGGAGGGTTTTTTTGTAAGACAAAAATAGACAGGAGCTGCATAATTTGTTAGGGTGGATGTCAAAAAGTCAGTTTTCATTGTTGGTTAAACTGTCACGATGTGCAGTGTTTTGGTTTGCAGCAATAAAGAGAGCTGCTGCGTGAAATAAGAGTCCAGCCACAGGTAGTGGCACACAGCAGTTTCATTTTAGACACCAGCTTAATCTGTCACTTTCAGGCTACTATGCACGAGGGAGGTTTAGTTTGAGTTTCATGTGTGTGTGTTTTGTGCATTAGTCTCCATTCTGGCTCAGGTTTCCCTGCATTGTAAGTCACAAGGCCAAAGACACAAACAGGGTGTGTAATCCCCGATCAATCACAGATTTGATGGCCTAAAGATTAAACAGTTAATCTGTCCTCTTTCTCTTTCTCTCTCTGTGCTTTTCATTTTCTCGTCTGATGCATGAGGCCGCTTTTTTCTTTTTCTTTTTTTTTCTTTTGGTAGCCAACTGAGTGCAGCTGAAGGAAGATGTTGTCTGTTCAGTGAGTCCTGCAGGGAAGCGCAGCAGTTTACTGTGGTGACTTTGATTAACAACATCACTGCAGACAGTGACATCAGTCTTCTATTTTTAATCTTAGACACACACACTTGTAAATACTTGAAATAATGACTTGTGACAGAACAGCTGACTCTTTGATTTTCTTTTTGCCCTCTTGTTGAATCAGTCCAAACACTGTGTGTAATTAAACTGATGTGCACCTCAAAAGTCAAACTTCATTCAATTTCAGACAGTCGATTAGTGCAAAAAACAACAATTCAACTTTACATTCCCTTGTTCATTGTGCACCACATTTTCAGATATTTCAATAAATTATATTGTAGGGTCTTAATCTGAATATTTAAATAATATTGTAGATTCTTAATACCAGTATTTCAACTTGTTTAATTTATAACATCAGTCCCATTTCTCTACTCAAAAGCACTTTGGCTCATAGTCTTTTATTTTAAATGTACTATATAAATACCTGTGACTTCACTTGACTCATTATGGGGTTAATTGAATCTTAAAGTGTTTGTCCTGTTTAGTTCTTCTGGTTTTAGACAGGCTTTATGAGTTGCTTTAAGGATAGCTGCAATAATAAGCGGATTAATTAATTAATTAATTGATTAGTCTATCAAACATTTAAATAAAATAGGACAAACAGGACGTTTATCTGTTTTCAAAAGTAAATGTTTTCTTGTCTTCTTGGCCTTACTTGACAGTAAGCAGAATATCTTTCGGTTTTGGGTTGTTGGACAGATAAGACTGTTAAACTGAAATGAACGCTCTTTTGTATCCAATGCTTAAAAAAATTGAAAATAACTTGTAAATTAGTAAACAGATGATGAAAAAAATCATTAGGTGCAGCCCTGAAATCTCTTATAAAACTGTATTTTGAATCTTCTTCTTGCAGTTTAACTGAATTTCTGTTTAAGTCATATATGTGGCATATTTAGTGACATTAATTTTAAATATCTTGTTTGTAACTCATTGTTATGGACACTCTTAAAAAGACATTTTAGTCTCACTGACGCTTATCTGGTAAAATAAAGTTTAAATTTAATAAATGGCACACAGTTTTACATTAGCTTTAAAGAATCTTTCATCTTAAAGCCGACAGAAACACCTGCCACTGCCTCTCTGCTGAATTGTACAAGGAAATGTTAAAATTAGATTTTCAC